GTTTTAGAAATCTCCATTTTCAGTGACCGAAAACGCCGTTTACGTGTGGACGAAAGGTGCAAACGCATAGAAAAATCTGCGTTTTCAAAAATACCCGGGTACGTGTGGACATAGCCTGTATCTCCTGCTGAAGACCAGATTAAATTCTTACTATGTCCTGATGTAAAACCTCAGAATTGAAAGAGCGTGTACTTTCCTTTTCACGTGTTTATAGTATAGGTAAGTAGGATCATTTTGAAAAAGAGTTTGGATTTATCATCTTGCCTTCATCTCCTTGCGTAGTCGAACACTGCTGACTTTGAAGTGTGCAGTCGGCCCGTTAGGTAAGTGACAGAGAACCATGCCATCTTTAATTAATGGTTAAGGATCTCAGCATTAGAAAACAGCTGACTGCATCAAAGATTTCCATGGTTTGTGCAACTTTCATAATTATCAGCAGTATTTGGTCAAAATGAGACTTTTGACCAAAGAAAGAACTGGAGCTTGCACAGCTGCCTTTAAGGATACTGGGCACTTGTCGATCCTCATTGATGACCATGAGATAGGTGAAGTCCCTGGCGACGCACTGCGGTATGATCCTCTTCAGGGCCAAACCTCTTCTGTAGTACACGTGGGCATTTGGGATGACTGTGGCCAGCTGCTCGCAAAACCTCACCGTCCTCTGCAAGACACAAACCAGATGATGTGGCACAAATCACTGTGCGTTCAACACTTTAGGTGGAAAAGCGGTCAGCACCAAGAAGGCTGCCAAACTATTATTAACGACTATGACAGTAAATCCTATTTTAGTGCAGAAATTAAACAGTAACAACAAAACCAGCTTCAAACGCTTAAAAGCTAAAAGTAAGCTTGTAGCTTCTGTTCTGCTCGATTTTGCAACAAAGTCAAGAATATTCAAATATGTAGAGATTTTTAGAAAATTCTTTGTTCTGCTTAATATTCAAATGATCCAAAATTTACCAGCAAATTATATTTTTTCAGATTCTGCATATTTAATGATAAAAGAATAATAGAAATGACTGTAATGACAGCAGGAGCCCTCACCCCTCTGGGTCTGTCTGATGTTGTGATGAGCACTTTAGGATTTGTCAACCCGTTGAAGTAGGCGGAGAATTCATCAGTTCCCTCGTCAAAAGCAATCTGTATATAACATACACAAACATAAGCAACTTAATCCAAATTCAGAAATAAAGATAACAATAATCTGATGAAGCCCAGTTCATACCTCCTCATCCTCTGGGTCGACTGTTGTCTCGTCATACACCCTCTGGTTTTCTATTGTTTTGGGGACCTCCTTTGGTGGTGCCTACATTAGGGACAGAATAAAATAAAG